CACTCTACCCAGGGTGACAGCTTGAGGCTCTGTCTCAAAAAAAAAAAAAAGTTTAGCAAACTTTTATTGAGGCTCACTCAATTACCTAGCCCTCTTTTGGGGATACAAAGATGAATAAAGACTTAGTCCCTGGCCTCAGGCTGTCTATACTGTATTGACCTGATTGAGTCACCATCACTTCCTTTTTCTTCTTCAGCTAAAATTTAAGCTCCTGGAGGGCAAGTACTGTGTTAGGGCATCTCACGATCACCGCAAGTTGGGCAATTCAGTAGAAGGACTCACAAGACTCAATGGAAGGTTTTTAGTTGCAGTTAAAGTTTGTTATAGCAGAGGACACAGAGCAAAGGCAACAGGAAAAATACTACACTTGATCTTAGACAAAAGGCCAAGAAGCAATGCAATGGGAAAAATACATGTATTGGGCAGGCATAGGTGTCCAAGTTCCTCTCTATCTAGGGCCATACAGGAGCAACTAACAGCAAATGACAGGGACACTTGTGAAATGTCTCTGCCCAGGAAAGCCCACCCACCTAAATCTCAGGGTCTCTGAGGCTTTTATGGAGTGAAACTCAAGACCCCAACGTCAAAACCAGCTATATCATGAAACTATCTTGAGAAGCTGGTGTGGTATACCCTGTTGCTCTGGACATACAAAATGACATCAGGATATCCATGACATAAAGAACATTCAAAGGGCTTTATTCCCATGGGTGGGTTTAGGGACAATCATAATTCCAGGCTTCCCTGGCGACATGTAAACACCAATCAACTAGAACTTCTATGTTAACTCTTTCTCTAAAACTATGTCTTAAACATTTCATACATCCCTTTAGCATGCGTGCCTAGCAAGGAATAACACACAGCCTGTCCTCTTCTCTACACTCAGGCCTCATATTTCACTGTCTACTTACCATGTCTAGTCCCATAGACAGCAGCACCTCAACGTGTCCAAATCCAAACTTGAATCCTCACTCTTTTCCTTCTTGGTAACTGTTGGCATCATTTACTCTGTTGCTCAAGCCCCCAGTTCTGGGTATTATATTTAATTCTCCTCTTCCCTTCACCTCCCATAGCCAATCTGGAATTCCTATTGAGTCTAACTTTGAGGCATATCCCACTTGTGATCAGTTCTCCTTCTCTCAACCACCCTAGTCTAAACCACCATCATTGTTCATCTGGACCACTTGCCTCCTAACTGTTTCAATTTGTCTCCCCTATAACCTATTCTCCATTCACCAGCCAGTGTGATCCTTCAAAATGTATATTAGGTTATGTCGTTCTTGGCTGCTCACAGCCTCCAATGGTTTCTCAACATGCTTGGAATAAAACAGAAGCATTTTACTCTCTTGCTTACTCATCAAGCTGTAGCCTCAGACCCAAAAAACAGGATTGTTTCTTCCTCACGTGACATTCCTTCTACCGGGACAGTTCTTCCTCTAACTCTGCAAATGCCTCGATTCTTCTTCTCCTTTAAATTTCACTTCCACTGTCAGTCCCTCATGGAGATGTTCTCTGTCCACCCTATCTAAGGTAGCTCTGCCCCTCTCCTCAACCTGAAATTATGATTATTGATTTGTTTGTATATTTATTGTTACTCTATACTTGCTAGAATGTAAGCTCGTGAGAGAAGACCTTTGTCTGTTTTGTTGGTAATGATACCCTCAGTACCTAGCACTATGCCAAATTCAGAGTAGGCATTCAATTAAGTAAGTGAGGTGAAGGCTATGTTAACCAGTTTGATGTAAGCATTCCAAATTGTATATAAAATCAGCACATTGTATCCCATAAATGCATTAATGTACAAGGTTATGATTTAATACAAAAATTGTTATGAGAAAAAATATTTAATAGAAACTTAAATTAACTAGTATGTAACAAAATAAAATAAACACTAATGGAGTTTCTTTATAAAAAGAGTAGGCATTCAGTAAATATTTGTTGATGAATGTACTAGGTAATTAATAATATTTGATTACTTAGAAGTGATGAAATGATCTCTGCCTTAAAAAGTTTACATTCTGGGCGGCACCTGTGGGTCAAAGGAGTAGGGTGCCGGTCCCATATGTCAGAGGTGGCGTGTTCAAACTTAGCCCCGGCCAAAAACTGCAAAAAAAAAAAAAAAATTACATTCTATTGAAGAGCTGAGTACGAAAGAAAACCTCAAATAGATGGAAAACTTGACCGTGCTAGTTGGGATCCAGTAGAGAGTATGCCACCATTGTGGACAGCAGAGACCAGAGAGCAACAGAAGGGTCACATTGAGCAGCTGGAATCTCTCCAGCTCAGTCTTCCTTCTGGAAGAGGTTTCTGGGGGCTGTTTGAAGGAAGATACCAGAAGCTTCAAAATCCCAAATGAAAGGCATGGATCATGGGGAGTTGATGTCTTCTCTAGGGTAGTGGCAGTGGTGATTTTGCCAGAGAAGTGCCCACGGTATAATTGTGCTTTATTTCTAGTTGCTTCAGGGCCTGGCTTTATGGCTATCCAGAGATCCTGTGGACTGTTTAATATTATTTAATATATGTCCTTTTTGCTCAATCTGGTCAGAGTAGATTCCATAGCTTGCAACTAAGAACTATGACCTGTCTACTAGGTCGCAGTTCAGAATCTTAATCTGTAACTGACATCTGAGTTTGAATGACTTGAAGATTGAACCAACTGTAACTACAGGCAGTCCCTGGGTTATGAATGAGATAGGTTCAGAACAAGTTGAATTTGTATTTAAGTTGGGACAGGTTTATCTATAACTTGTAATATTGTTTGTAATTGCAAATTGTATGTAAGTTGGATGTTTGTAACTTGAGGGCTGCATATCAAAATGTTATATCAAAATGACATGCTAAGTTTAAGGCTGAGTAATTAACTCACATGCCTGGGGAAAATTGTGTAAGTATATTTTTATGTGTCAGTAAAGTACTATTATCAAAAATGAACATTTTTGATCATTCGGTTCTTTAAGTTTCTATGCTATTATAGTCTAATATAATTTTTATTACAAATGTATTAGTTACTAAGTGAAAGAGACTTAAAATATTTTTAAAAGGCAAAACTGAACTGTCTTATTTAAGGTTACAACTGGGTGAATAAAACTCTAAAGAAAAGCAGGGAAGAGAGGAAGAGAGACCATGAATGTCAGCATAGTGGTTAATTTGAGGGTTGGGATGGGACATGTACCAGGCTTCTGTGGTAGTTAGCAAAGTTCTATTTCTCTACCTAAATGGAAAATAAAAGTATATTTACTTTATGAAACTCTATTAAGATACATAATTTTCTACATGGTATATTTTACAATAAAAATAGTTAAAAAATAAGTATATCAACTACTCAAATGTGAACTATTTTTATGGAAATGTTCCCTGTATGTTTTCATTTCAGGATTCCTGAGGACTTCACTGTGGGTTTTTGTCTCTGAAAATATGTGAGTTACTATATAAGCTCAACAGAGAGCTTAAAATGTTTATTGTTCCTTATAATCAAAGTCATACAAATGAAGGCACTATTATTCCCCCATCAAATTGACAGAAACATTAATTTCTTTCTTTTCTTATCTTCTTTTTTTTTTTTTTTTTTTGAGGTGGAGTTTCAACAAAAGACTGTTGCCCTGGTTTGAGTGCCATGGCACCATCACAGGTTACAGCCACCTCAGACTCTTGGGGTTAAGAGATTCTCTTGCCTCAGCTTCCTGAGTAGCTTGGACTACAGGCGCCAGCTAAAACACCTGGCTAATTTTTCTATTTTTTAGTAGAGATGGGGCTTTTTCTCAGGCTGGTCTTGAACTCCTGAGCTCAAGAAATCTGCCTGTTTCAGCCTCCCAGAGTGGTAGGATTACAGGTATGAGCCACTACCCCCAAGCTGCCTGGCACCCTCCCCTTCTCTCCCCCCTTCTCTCTCCCATTCTTTCTTTGTTTTCAACTGTTCAGACTGTTTTCAACTGTTCAGATTGTATCTATTTATCTATCTATCTGTCTGTCTGTCTATCTATCTATCTATCTATCTCTGTCATTTATCTAAGAAACAGGATCTCACTCTGTTGCCTAAGCTGGAATGTAGTGGCATGATCTCACAGCTCACTTTAACCTTGAACTCCTGGGCTCAAGTGATCCTCCTGCCTTAGCCTCTCATGTAGTTAGGACCACAGGTGAATGGCACCATATACCTAGCTAATTAAAAAAAAGTTTTTTTTTGTAGGGATGGGGTTTTGCTATGTTTCCCAGGCTAGTCCTGAACTCCTGCCTCAAGAAATCCTCCCACCTTGGCCTCCCAAAGCACTGAGATTACAGGTGCAAGATACTGTACTTGACCTGTCATAGACGTTTATTTATTTATTTAATCTTTATCATAGACTTTTAAAAAGAAGTGTTATTTTTCAGTGTTAATGAAAGTATGGAGAGATGGGCACTTACATGGCCCCGCTGGTATAGATTTAAATGAGTACAACCTTTTTAGAAAGCCATTTTCCAGTCTGTTAACAAGAGCCTAAAACATGCTTATGCTGTCAACTCAATCCTAGGAAATTTATATTAAGGAAAGGATCAGAGATGTACAAGAAGGGTGCTCCTGGCAGTAGTTTTGTAATAGCGAAATCGTGGAAGCAACCTAAATGTTTAATAATGCTAGGGAAATTGTACAATCACAAGATGAAATATATAGCCATCAATATGGGTAGTTCTTAATATATGTACCTAGAATAATAATGAATATGATGGCCAACATTTATTGATTACTTACGATTTGTTAGGGACTAGTAAACATTTTTACATGAATTCTCTCATCCTTGCAATAGCACTTTGAAGTGGGTACTATGATTATTCTCATTTTTTAAATTCCAGATTAATATGAGGGCACAAATGTTTAGGTTGCAATGTTTGCATTTGTTAGGTAAAGTCCAAAGTTGTAGTTGAGCCCTTCACCCAGAAGGTGTGCCATATGCCCTTACATTGTACCCATTAGGTGAGAGCATGCCAATCTCCCTCCCCCCTGTCCCCTACTTGAATTTAATTGTAAAAATATGGAACAATTCACAAAGTTGTGTGTCATCCTTACACAGGGGCCATGCTAATCTTCTCTGTATCATTTCAATTTTAATAAATGCACTGCCCAAGTGAGCATTTATTCTCATTTTGTACATAAGAAAACTGAGACTCAGAAAGGTTAAATAACTTGCTCAGGGTCACATGGTAAGTAAGCAATTGAGCAAGGGCTGAATCCTATAAATTTACATAAAGGCTATTAATTGTGGCAATCTTTAAATGATGGGATTATGTGATTTTTATCTTCTACTTGATATTTTCCTTTATGCCATTAATTTTTTATTTCATCTTAGTTGCTACATATAATAACTTAAATCTTTATAAGGTATAATGTGATGTTTTATACGTGTATGCATTGCGTAGTGATCAAATCACAGTATTTAGAGTATCCATTAATGCAAACATTTATCATTGCTTTGTGGTGAGAACATTTAGAAGCCTCTATGCTAGTTATTTTGAAAAAATCTTAATTTTATACAATAACCACTTATTAGTTTTATAATCAGGAAAAAAACTAGTAACTTCTCCCAGATATTTCTGCCACAAAGAGATGCACTGTGTTCTGGGAGAAGTGTCCAGGGAGAGGGTAGGGCCCAGGGTCTTGAGGCAGGAAATACAAAATAGTTTCCTTGTGCTTAGCTTCCTGTGCTCTGTGAATAGTCTGTTTTTTCCCTGGGAGCACTACCTCCTAACTAAAGATTGGAAAAGTGGCTGCCTCGGTTTGGTTTCCTTGCTTCTGAGCTAGTAGAAACTTGCTGATGAAGGGAATGGCTTGTGGGCAAAGGGCAAGAGCTACCTACTTTCTGAATTTCGTACTAAAATTGCCTACTTAAATTCCTGTGTTTCACACTGCTCGCCTCACAGTTGTGTGTCATGCAGAAGAAGCTCTGATTCGGTGCCTCTGGTTCACTTCTAAGCCGCCTCTGCCTCTGGCCTAGGGGTGAGGGAGCCTCCTTTTGCCTCTGGCTGGGTAGCCACCTTGGTTAGTCAAGGAGGACGTGTGGCTCCCAGTGGGTCATCGTAGCTTCGTGTTCCTCCCAACTGCCTCAGCTTCTCCACCTTCCACCTGATCACAACCATTCTTTTCTGTGAACTTGAATCTTTTGAGGGAAAATGAGACAAGGATTCACATGCAGCAGCAGATTCCATGTGAACCCTCCTCTAGGCCTGGGAAAATGCATTCAATAATCTTGCCTTGTAAGAGCAAACCAGTATATGCAAGAAAGACACACTCAAGGAATTGGCCCGAAGATTAGCTCAGAGATCCGGGAATGAAACCTAGCTCGCCTGCTTCCTAGGCCCCCCTGTACTGTCTATATTTAGCCAAGCTGCTCTGAGCCTTGTCCATCTTGTGTGAAAGCCAAAGTAGGCACACAGTTTGCTCATAAAAACATTCCTGTGCTTGCCAGCTCATGCCAGCCAACCATTTAGATGTTAGTTTTAAAACGGTGAGCCTCCCCTTGCACCCAACTCCTAGAGCCTGCAATGAATACATATCAAGGGATCAGCAGCCTGAGTTTCCCCCAGAGCCCAGTGACCTTAGCCAAATGCCCTAAAATGAGAAGCATGTCTCCTACTCCTACATTTTGGCACAGGGATCAGCAAATGACTCTCTCCTAGACCCACTGTTCTTGGTCACAGTTCTTTGAGTGTGTTGACCTACTTTCTTCTTTTCAGAGGAAAAACAGAAAGCAATAAATGTCTCCAGTGTGTAATCTTTCTTTCAGGAGCGATGACTCTGCCTTTTGGACCCTTGTCCTTTCCTTGCTCCACTACCACTCTGCTACAACCACAGGGAAGTGGTTCATGCCTGAACCAGAGCTCTGCTTGTTGCTTACTGTCTTTATTCCACAGCTGTGTTTTCAGAGGAAGTATGGCCCACTTATCACAGGGATAGAGCAGAGCCCTCCCCAGTCTTCTTTTCCCTACAGTAACTCATTGCTAAGCAGCATGAGGCAGGCTGAACTTGCTTCTGTGTGAGAATCTTCTGGGAATCAACAGAATGTATCTGGTTTGGGGCACACTCTTACCATGTGACTGGCAGCATTATGGACTATGACATATTCAGCTTGAGACTCTTTTTTTTTTTTTTTTTTGAGACAGAGTTTCACTATGTCACCCTTGGTAGAGTGCCATGGTGTCACAGCTCACAGCAACCTCAAACTCTTGGGTTTACAGCTTGAGACTCATGACTTACTATACACCTTTGGTGTGGATCTCCAAGAAGAATGTTAAGTTGCCCTGATAAGCAGAATTCCACTTTGGAGAGTGTGTATAGACAATTCTCAAATACCCTCATTGAGACTCTCTGTGGTAAATCAATCTGAACATTATTATTCACAGTCTGAATGATGTTTCCCAGTTCCTCTGACCATTAGCTGCAATCAGTTTGGAAAATACATTCTCATTTTAATGCAAATTGACGAAGAATTGATTAGAGGAATAAATCTGCTGGGGTTCAGAGTTTGGGTGTAGATGGGTCATATAATATATTCCTAAGTACCTTTCCGATTATCTACTGGTTTTAATAACCTGGCATGTCTATTCTCCATGACCATGGATACCTGAGTATATCTTTCTTAACTCCTCTATTACTGGGTACTATGTCTCTTTTTTTCCTCACTCATCCCTGTGTGTAGAATAGGTTATAACCAGCCTGTCTTCTAGCATCCTATCAAATTTTATTTATAATTTAACATATTAGCACTTAAGAATGTCCCACATCTTTTTCATTAGCTCTACAATAGTATTGGAGTTGTAGTGGTCACAAGAAGCTGCCCCTCAGCAACCAGCTAATCTCAGGCCACCTGGGCTATGGTTAGGGTGAGCCCATCCTCTTGGAGGGCTGATCAGGCAGCAGGTGGTAAGACAGGGCCTGGTTTCAGGCAACAGCCAGGGATCTCTTCTTTCTGGGGAAACCTTTCATACTTTTTTTTTTTGAGACAGAGTTTTAATTGCTCACCCTGGATAGAGTGCTATGGCATAATAGCTCACAGCAACCTCAAACTCTTGGACTTAAGTGATTCTCTTGCCTCAGCCTCCCAAGTAGCTGGGATTTCAGGTGCCCGCTACAACACCCAGCTATTTTTTTAGAGATGGAGTATCACTCTTTCTCAGGCTGGTCTTGAACTCGTGAGCTTAGGCAATCCACCTGCCTCTGCCTCCCAGAGTGCTGGGATTACAGGTGAGCCATAGCACCCAGCCAACCTTTCATACTTACTCTGTGAAGTATCTATTCCCAACTTAGTTGTCTGGGTTGGAGGCAGGATGTGAATGAATGACAGTAGGACCTCTGCATTCATAGAACTGGATAAGGGCAGAGACAATAGGGATGGAACATGAGCATGAATTAACAAGCAGTGGCAGAAGTGAGGGGAATAGTAGGGAGATAGGAAAGGTGATGTTACTGAATGATAGATTAGGCAATAGGGAAAGTCTAGGTCCTAGACATATGCCTCAAAGTTTCCCTGACGCTCTGGTGAGAAGAGCTAGACTGGCAGAGTGAAGAGAGGGCACAGCATCTGGAAAGTCTAATGAAGCTACCTACCCTGTCTTAGAGATCGTACACTAGTACCGCACTATCTCATAAAACTTTCTTTGATGATGGAAACATTCTCTTTCTGTGCTCTCCAATATGGTAGCCACTAGCCATATCTGGCCTTTGAGCTCTTAAAATGTATCTAGGAACTGAATTGTAAATTTAATTTTAATTCATTTAAATTTACCTGGCCATATGTGGCTAGTGGCTATCCTGGGGGCAGCACAGTCTATAGAATCACAGTTGACATTGGCAAGAGGAGGTGGTCTACCATGGTGGTTTAGAGCACATACTCTGCAGTTGGGCAGCCCTGGCATCAATCCTGATTTGCCATTTACTAACTGTGCAACCTTGGGCAAGTTACTTAACCTCTTTGAACTTATTTTCCCATCTGTAAAATGGACATAATGGTAATGTCGGTATCATAGAGGGCTGTTGGATATATTAAGTTAGATAATCAGTGCAAAACTCTTAACAAAGTACCTGGCATCTATGGAGTTCTCAGTAAATCATTGCTGTTATGACGCTTTGATGTTATGGGTTGAGGAGTGTTCAGATCTTGGATTTTCTTTACATTTTTGATTACTTGCAATATACCTACTGGTTTAGCATCTTTAATGCCAAAATTTGAAATCCAAAATGTTTCAATGATTGTTTCCTTTGGGCGTCATGTTGGTACTCAGAATGTTTTGGATTTTGGAACATTTCAGATTTTGAATTTTTGGATTAAGAATATTCAACCTGTATAAGGTTATGATGTTTGGTCGTAACCTATTTTCTGTTCTTTGGCCCTAGTCACTGAACACCAATAAATCAACCTACCTTGGTAGTGACTAGACCTATGAGGATAGTGACATTTGTCCTTATGGACTTCCTTGAGCTCCATAGCTAAGGATCTCTCATTTGATATTTATGACCTTCTTGTGTTCTGAGCTCTAAACCAAATGAGATTTTCAATTAAAGAAAAGGTGAAATGTCATGGTCAGAATTGTAACCTAAAAATCACATGTTCTAGGCCATTCCCAACTGCTCATTCATTGAACCAAGATTATTGACTTTTTACTGAGATAATAGTGATTACAAGCACAGACTCTGGAGTTAGACCACTTGGGCTTGTTTCCACAGCTTAGTGGCTATGTGACCTTGGCAAATTACTTAGCTTCTCTAAGTCTCTATTTCCTTATTTGTCAATTGAGCGTAATAATAGTACCTACCTCCTAGGGTTGTGATAAAGATTAAGCAAATTAGTACATGTAAAGCACTTATAGAAATACTTGGCACTCATAAGCACTTGGTAAATATAAGCAGTGTGGTTGCTATACATAGTATACTGGGGGCTATACTAGATTTCAGAGAAATAAAGATAAATAGGTACCATCCTTGCCCTCATTAAACTTATAGTCTAATAGTGGGAGAAAGATATATGAACATGTAAATACAATAAGATGTTAACAGACAATCAAGATGGTAGCATATATAGGATACTGAGGGGACATCAAGAAAAGAGATCAAATGTCTTGGGTAGATAGTAATCTGGAG